GAAAAAATGTTTGATTGTTTGGATTTGATTGATTGATTGATTGATTTTGTGTGTATGTGTGTGTGTGTGTGTGAGAGAGAGAGAGAGAGAGAGAGTTTCTTTAGCGTGTGTGTGTGTTGTGTGTGTGTTTGTGTGTGTGTGGGGGGGCGTGCGGGAGCGTGCGGGCGCGCTGTCGGAGGGCGCGGTGTCCCGGCCCTCCTTTGTGTACCAGGTCCTCACTCAATATTAGTCCCATGTTCTGGGTTATTGTTCCCTAGGCTCATCTCATGCTGTAGGTTTGGTTCCAGGATTGTTATCGGCGCGGACCGATCCCGGTGGCGTAGCCCTCAGTAAAAGAGGTGCGCCACAGGGCTTTCCATTGGTCCACGCAGACTCGGCGCCCTGCTGTACAGCAGAGCACAACCGGCCTGTGGCCGTGGTAGCCGCCGGGTTCGCCCTGGGATGCGGAGGTGAAAAGATCAGCGCTGCCCTTTCTACTGCGCGCTGAGCTCCTACTAACCAAGTTATGGGATAGGTGCATGGGGCAAGTCTCTATCAAAAAGAAAAGACTAGATGAGAGAAGCAAAAGAAAGCAAAATGTGTGAGGGCGGAAAGGAAAACGAAGTGTCTGAACTCTACTCAGATCGTGGCCTTGGTCTTTGCTTTAATCTGGGTTAATCCAACGATATCGGGCCACTGTACCGTTGAGTTTTCTTTCCTTTCTTTATAATTATTGCAATTATTATATTATCATTGAAATTATTGTCACTCACACTCTAAATAAATCCTCCCTACTATCGTTTCACGGAAAGGTCAAGCGATTCGAATTTTGTGCGCGGCTGTAGTCCGTGGCCCAGACTGATTTGGCCTGCCGCTCGCGTACCGCTGGTTGGGAGGCCTGCTCGAACGCTGTGCGGGGAAAACCCCAAAAGAGGGGCGACCCGCGACCGCATCGGCAGGAGGCTTGTCACCCCCGTGAAAGAGGGTCATAAGCCCCCTCCTTACCATCGGACACGGGTACCCGGAGGAGGTAAGCCAGCGGTTTGTTTTGAGGGGGATAAGTGCGCCGTCTGTATTTCGTTATGGGACCGCCACCTCAAAATAGTAGTCGCTTCTCAGTGAGACGGAGTGACAGGGACTAGTAGCAGAAGGGTTGTGGATATCGAGGCCATAAGTTATTTTCTTTTCTCTCTCTTGGTTTCCTTTTGTGTAAAATCACAATTTTAAAATTATCCCGTTTATTTTCAAATTTTCACCAAGTCTTGAAGCTTCCCGTTTAGAACGCAGGTAACTCGGTATGAGGCAGATCTATAAAAGACAGCAGGCGGGGGGCTGAGCAGGGTGAACTATCCCGCCACGTCTAGTGTTGCTGGTCTGAGGGCCTGAGTGGAGCGGTGAATAGCCTGGGCCATCTGAGTGTGTGCACCCAGGGGTGGGTCCGTGGCTGTCTCTGAGTAGTTATGGCCTTGCACGGGTATAGACCCTGCTACTGGTATCACAAGATTCGGTGGAAGCCTATGTCCGGGGAGGGGCCCTGGATCACGGCAATACTCAACTACGATGGGGGAGACGAGATAAGACTGAGGATTAACGTGGAGGGGGGAAAAGAGGAGGAGATGCGGACTGATGGAAGGCTACAGAACACTATCACAGAGACGAAAGACCGTGTGGAGGGGCGCTGCAGAAGGGACGGCGTGACGACGAAAATGCAGGTAACGGTCTCGTATCATGAGACCGAGACCTCGATGGAGACGGCGGATTGGGAGCAGGCCCACCTGGAACGGGACTCAGGTGGGGAGAGCGAGATGAGCGAGGCGGAGGATCGGGAGACGGACCTCAGGTCCTGGAATAGACCAGGCGAGATCGAGAGGCATCACCGGACGGTGAAGCCAGTGGAGCGCGGACCCGAGGCCAGCTCTCATCAACCGGCGCCCAGAGGCCGAGGGACGGGAGAGAGACAAGGCAGAGGAAAAGGACGTGTGTGAAGGGGGCAAGTGAGCTGTGAGGCGGCTACAGGGACACACGAGGCACAGTCGAAGGCACGTGAAGTGAGCGAGAGGAGGGATTTTGGCAAGCGTAGCGGGGTCGAGGTCAACGCGCAACAGTACGGTCTCTGAGGACGGGAGACAAGAAAGGGGGAATGAGTGGCCGACAGAGGGCAAGCTACACGTGGCAGCCCGAGGAGAGAGGGGGAGTCAACAAATGTGGGCGAGTTGCAGGCAGGAACGCGCGAACTCAGGAGATGTTGTTGACGTCAACTATAGCCTCAGAGTTCGCACTCAAGGCTTTGAGTGTGCAGAGCCTGTTGAGAGATATCTGGAGGTCAAACGTGTAGTTGTTCTGAGAAACGGGGAGTGAGCTACGGGGCAGCTACGCAGATACATGGGTGACACGTGGCACGACCCGAGGAGAGAGAGACGTCGGTCAGCTAGAAGGGGAGAGAGTGTGAGCGTTACGGAACCTGAAAGTGGGGAGGCAGGTGTAGCTGCACGGGCACACTTGCGACTGGTGGTGTGGTCCGGGGAGAGAAAGGGCGATCAACGAGAGGTGTGTGGAGGATGTGATGAGCTTGCGGAGCGCAATTGGTGTCAATCGTAGCAAGAGACATGTGTGAGGCGCGCGCAACCACGACCAAGAACGCGCACGCAACGAGAGAGTCAACGGTGGAGAGGGGAGAGAACTGAACGCGTGTGCTGAGATGTTGACGTCAACTGCTGGGAGATTAGAGCATGGCCGATCAAAGTTGATCATTCCCTGTGAGGGGACCTTGGATTGAACTCTGATTGGTGATTGGATGGTCTTTCGTGAGCTGGCTGTTTTCCTTTTGACGCTCACACATCACGGACAGTGAGAGCTGCGGACGACGTGTCTTGGCTGTTTAATTGGCTGGAGCTGCATTTATCACGGGCCATGTTGAGCGTGATTGCAAAGGGGCCAGTGAAGAGGTTCACAAGAGTAATGGTCAGAGCACAACTCGTATCGCCAGGTCAAGAAGAACGGTGAAGACGGGCCTGCAGACACACCCTGGACAACTGGCTTGTCGTGTGGCCAGACCATTTTTGTTGCCTTAGGATGGGCAGATTCATATGGCGCATGCGGAAACGGTGTGAGAGAGAGAGGGTGAACCATCTCGCGTGCAAAGAGATTCCAAGACTGGCTAAGCCCGTGGGGAGGAGGAAGGGTCTCTTGCTTTTGAGGACGATTTCGCTTACCGACTGGCGCTCCCTCTCTAACGACCGCCTGTCTTGCCACTTTCGTGTGACTTCCAACCTGTAAAGGAGATGGCAATCAAGGGTTAATGACACATCTTTCCCTTATAACAGCCTTGATCGAGCCTTCAGATAAGATGTCGGTCTTTGCAGAATAATTCCCCTCTTGTTTTCACTAATTTTAGTTTACCTTTTAGTTTAGTTAGTCAGTACGACTGATTGTTATTGATTGACCATGTTGCATCGAAAGAAAGAAATAAGTCCTCGGTAGACTGTGTAAGTGGGCGAACAAAAGAGTAGCACCTGTGCGTAATAGCGATTCAAAATGTGCTAGCCACGAAGGAAACTCAATGTGTGGGAGCCTAGTTTAAGTGTTTAGTGTGGCTGGAATTGAATACGTCGGTATTAGCTTGACTAGTCACTTGTCCATTTGAATGTGCTATTTGTATTGGGTGTTTTGCTTGGTTTCTTGGTAAGGTCAATGAGACACGCAACCTTTGTATCCGTGTGCTTAAGCTCTGTGAAGACAAAGATTACGAGTGCAATTGGGGTTTAAACCCTTCTTTTCCCTTTTCATCTGCGAGAGACTGCATAGTGTTGACTGCACTGTGAGACTACACTGCACAACTACATTGTGTAACTGTGTGAGCGTATGACCACTTGGGCTTGCACATGCTCGCTCGATCGAATGTCAACTAGTAGGTGTACGGGCTCACTTGTGACGTGAGAAGGATTGAGCGCACGAACACATAAGCAGGCATGTGCCCTTGTGAATAGGCGAATGTATGCTTGAATGTGTGCAGATTTGGTGAGTGCAAGTAGGTGTCAGTCCGAGTATGCGAGTCTACCTTTGGCTTACCGAATGTGCCTGCATGTCAAAGTGGGAGTATGGAGACAATTTTCTTTTTGATTGCTATCTAAGCCTTGGGATACTACTTTCTGTAAACCCTGTGTTGAATGGCTTAGCTGACCACATGGTAAAGTCAAAAAAACGAGCAGCCTTTGCATTCGTGTGCCCTGTGCCATGTGATCGCCAGAAGTATTTGTTTCGTATAACTGCACAGTGCGATTGCTTCGTGTGACTGCGTCGTGTGATTGTTTCGTATAACTGCACAGTGCGATTGCTTCGTGCGACTGCGTCGTGTGATTGCTTCGTATAACTGCACGGTGCACTTGCTTCGTGTGATCACACGGAACGATTGATTCGAGGGACCAAGCCGTGTGATTAGCTTCGCGTGACTGCAGGAGGTTGTGAGTGTACTGACTTGCGCGTGTTCACGGGAAAGGAAGGTTTGCCTATAGAGGTAAGAGTTAGAATGTGCCCTGAGGTAAATCAAGTGCGTGACTTTGTAAGCCTGCAAATGGCTGTGTGAGTTTGCGGTAGCTTCGAAAGGTCTGCAAACGCATTGTTTGGTTAGTAGAACAACCAATCTCTTTCCTTTCTCATGAGTTTAGAAGCTGAGTGATGAAACGATATGGAACGAAAGAACGGTTGAAAAGGGTGGCTTACCTGATCGCCAAGTTCTTGCTTGACGGGGACTGATACCTCCTGCCTCTAGTAGCCTCGGGATGTTCACTCAGTTGATTTACTAGTTTGTTTGGAGCGTTTTGATGACTTAACTATCCTAATAAAAAGAAAGATACATCTGCAGATACACGTACAATTCGCCCCCAGACAATTGACAGTCAGGCAGAACAGGTTCAGGGGGCTCCACATCTGCCCAACTCCCGACAAAACTAATGTTCAAGAGGGGAAATTAAGGTGTACTCTACATGTCAAGAGATGAGTATTTGACGGAACAGTTTAGTGTCCCGAATATCTTTTTAGGGTCACACGCAGCGTACAGGTAGCTCTAATTCTGAGACTGTACTAAACTCGTCACTGAAAACTCTGAGTACTAACCTAGAGCCCATAATATTGGTCATGCTTGACACGGGTGCTTGCACTCGTGGCTAGCGTGATGTGCCCTTGAAGGGGAAAGATGGAGAAAAGAGATACAGTAAGAGTAACCTATTCGCTGCATCAGGACATGACCGAAGGTTGGGAAGAGAGAGTGACTGAGAGTTTTCATAGCCAGAAAAGGCTTATGAAGGAACGAGCCGTGATGTTAGTGAGAGGTCAGACAGTCATGGAGTATACTTGCTACATTTATGGGTCTGACGGGAAATTACACAGTACTCTCTCATCAGTGGAATCCATTGAGGAGGCAAAGAGGATGGTTGTCAGAGATCGGTGAGAAAGTTTAATCTTCAATTCGGTGAGAGAGGGATTCTCATTAGACAAAGACAGATCAAAAGGAAAGGTCGAGGTTCAGAAAACAGGTTGCAACCGAACACAGAGTAAGTCATTGAGTCACGAACAGTAAATGAAACAACTAGCAAACAAGGGATAATTATCAGTTAATTGACAACATTCACTTATCCGTCATCAGTCAACCAACAAAACTTTATTTCCCGTCAGCGATTAATCAAGGATGCTCAGTTCCTGATCATGGGTTGATCAACAGTTGAACGACACTTGATTGGCGATCAGTCAGTGCTCAGATAATAATCTCAGCGGTATTCAACTTCACAGTTTAGCTATCAACCAACAGCCAGGAAAAACATCAATCGGAGTAAGACTTTAGAAAGGTAATCAAAACAGCGACACTCAACAAACAATCTGTCAGCAAGCAATTAGTTTTCAGACCAGTAGTTGAACAGTTTCCTGGTCAGCGATCATTCAATCCTCTAATCAGCATTGAGAATCAGCATTCAAAAGTCAGCAATCAGTCAGCTTTCAGTTCAGCAATCAGATCAGCAAATAATCAGTCCAAGCAATCGTGTCAAGTGTTCTGATTAACAGTAATCAGAAAGGCAATCAGATCGGTAAGCAGTTTAGCAATCAGATCAGCAACCGAATCTGCAATCGAATCGGCAACTAGATCAGCATCCATATCAGTAATCCAGCAAACGGTTCAGCAATCAATTCTGTAACCAGATCAGTGATCAAGTCACTGATAATCATCGGACGGCAAACAAGACATTCATGAGTACGGTCCAATCCATCCTGGTCAGCGAGTCAGTGCTGACCAATCTCAACCAGCTTTCATGCAAGGAGGCCATTCATTACCAGTATGTCAATGCCATCGGCTTCAGACAGGGGGATATGTCAGTCTTTGTTGTCTAGACCAGTTTTGCTGACGGTACTATTCGTGACTTGAGGCCATGCCTGAAAAAGGGCAAGGACGCTCATGAGCATTTTGACCCTGTCTGGATCTCAGCCACCAAATACCTCGAGCAGAGAGAGAGGGAGCTCGATGAGGGTGGCACTACGCTGATCCGCAGCTTTGGGCCAAAGCTCTATACTGACTACCCCAAGCCTCATGTTCCTTCTCTTCTCACGGATGGCACGAGTTGGCTGGATCTGGTTGACTTGGCAAAAAGGTATGTCTCTCCGACAGTGATCGACGTTGAGGCACTAACCGAACCCACCGAGTACCCCTACCTCAGGCGAGGAGTCTTTTCAGTGGACGGACTACCTACTTTGTGGGAGGAGTTTTGCTCCATGGTTAACTACCGCGTCATGTGCCTCGGATGGTCATGCTCAGAGCTTGCTGGCTTCAGGTGACTCTTTATCACGAGGCCTCAATCTCAGACTGTACGCGGGCATGGTTCTCAACACCAGAGATGAATAGCAAGATGAGAGATTGAGAGAGACTGACTAGAGGGATGAGTGAGAACTCTTGTGAGGTGCTGACCATGCTTGCTTATGTGTACTTTCTGGGATTATTATGAGTTCTCATTCTTCCCTCATTCAATTGCCCTTGTCTTCGCTCAAGTCARTCARTCTTATTTTCTGCATCGATCTTGCATGATGATTGCCCYTGCGAATGATTCTGTCACAGTTCTCAAAATCAGATTGACATAACTGATGCATGCATAGCACCTCATAATTTTATAATTATTTATTTGCATAATTCTCTGCTGTTCCGAATCAAAATAAAAGATTCCTAAGACCGGGGACCG